AAATTTAAAACATTTTGTCTTATAGTTTGTGCCCAGCAGTATTATGATGTGATATATACTTTTATGTTTTGTTTTTTTTTTTATTAATTTTGATCTAACAAATCTTATTCATCAAGTAGCCATTTTTTGTAATCTTTTATATTTTTTTTTAGGTTTACTTATTGAATACAGTAAAAAAAAAAATTGCATATTTTGCTTGTGCTGATTCATAATTAGAATTCTGGTTTGAATATATTTTTCCATTCAATGTACAAAAGGTATTAACTTTATTTGGATTTATTCTTGAAATAGTAAAATTCTGAAGTCACTTTGTAAGCAAAAACCTACAGAAATTAGGTATTTCTGTACGTCTTTTCAGATGATCTTGAGTGCAATTTTGATTTTCTGAAAAATTCCTATTCACTAGCTGTTCCTCTATCTCTCCATCATTGTGCATGGGCTACAGGACTTTTGATTGGTCAAATTCTTGGGAAGTTTCACTCATATCTGTGTATTAGATATCACTCAGGCTTTCTTTTTATTAGTCATCTTATGGCTGACTACCTATTCCAGCATATGTAGCAAAAGTCATCAGTGTACTAACTGATCCATCATCAAAATTGGAATTCAAGTGTTTATTTGGCATAAATTCCTTTTGTAAGATCAACAATGCAACAAGATAAAGTAGAAAAACTTTCTTTTCATGCATGCTTTTGAAAGGTTTTTTGTTAAGGCTACAGACTGTGCTGTTTGGTAGATTAAAGCTAATCCACACTGATAGGGGCACAGATAAAGAGACCAGATACGTATGGGAGAAAATAGATAATCTTTGATCAGCTGTCATGAAGAGATCTACTCAACCATAGTAAGTTTGTGTCTACGCCCATGGAAAATGATGGTTTTGTCATCACACACACACACGACTGATCTTTCTCTTTCTACAATTATGATTCATGGACTCAAGAATAGTTTGTTTTTGAAAACAAAACTATTTCCAATTGACATAAAATAAACACAAAACTTGATTATTTTTTTTTTTTTTTCAATATATAGTTTTTGCATTTCTACAATATGGATAGTCATGGTGCACAATCTTTTATTTGTCCCAAAGTGGGTCTGTGCTGTGCTGCAACAATACAGCAGTGAAAGTTTAAAATTATGCAGTTCTACTTGTACTAATAATTTTTAATCATCAGGGATGTCTTCGTTCTTCTTCTGCATATTATGTCATTTCAGGATGTTGACAATCATGGCTCTCCACAATTTCTTCTCCTTTGTAGCTAAATTTTGTCTTTTTGCTGTACTTCCTCAACTCTATTCTGCCAACCATTTGCACAAGCTTATTAGGTAGGTTATGTGCTGCTTTCCTCTATCCCTCTTGCCTTCAATATGTCCTGTGAGTATCAAATTTTCTAAGCCCTCTTGTCTCATTATTTGCCCTAGAAATTTCAACTCTTTCTGATGTTAAGTATAAAATGTCCTTTTTGTTACCATTTTCTCTAAAACTTTGTCATTGTTCAGTCCATAGCAATCTTCTGCAAAACCATATTTTTATTGCTTCAAGTCTCTTCTTCATCTCTGAGGAGATTGTCTGGCATTCATAGCCATACAAGAGGACTGATATTGCATAACAGTTCAGTATTCTGTTGTTTCTAATGAAATTTTCATCTTTCTAATACAGGGTGTTTCCAAAAATTTGATGTCATTTGAGCTGTTAATATTTTATTAATATTGTCTAGGCAAATGAAACTTAAGAGGCTTATTTGTTGAGCAAGATAAGATTTATTCATCAAAATTTGAATCAGAAATTCAAAAGTATGTGGAATTCATGAATGATTTTACAAGCATTCAATATGTGCACTGCCTGTGACATAGCACATGTCAAGTCAGTTGCCAGTTCTTGCCAATATGCTGCAACATGACTTGGGTAACAGCATTGCAGTTGTTATATTTTTAGTGTATTCTCTCACAAATGCACACTGCACAGTCTTGTTCAACTGTGTTCCAGCATTCTCTAACACACAGAACAACTTTTCTTTTCCATTGAATGACAAAAGAATCTGAAAAGAAAAAAAGCATAAAGCATTAAACATAGAATTTTGAGTTGTTTCTACATGTGCTGTTAAAATTCGAGATCATTTGAACAAGAATTGGTCAAGTTATTAGATTAAAAATATTTTTTTTTCTAAAACACCCTCTATTTTGCTTAGCTTTTGAAAAGCACTTTCGCTATCCCAATCCATCTTTGGATTGCTGTTCCTTTTGCTGGCAACCATATATTGTTTTCTTTTAATTGATGATTAGTCCTTTCTTTTCAGCTTTCTTCATTATCCTCCATAAGAGTTCCTGTTGTTTCCTATCTGTATCTGCTATCAACACTGTGTCATCTGCTCATCCTGTTAAGATTGTTAGCAAAGAATAATGTGTGCAGGAACAATAAACACCATATTTCTTTGACATTCTCTTTCAATTAGAAGGAAAGCTCAAGCAATGAATTGTATGGTTGTTTTATATCAAGTCTGTTACTCATTGACACTATCAGTGTCCACAAACAATTATCTTTCATGACTATATATCCAGCAGTTTTGTATGGCACGATTCTGATGGAAGCAATACTTACCCACTCACAAGGAATCCTCTTACTGTCATTGCAACCAGCTGCAATCCAAATTTTGACCTTACCCTGCATGAACTAGTACATCAGCTAGCATTAAATATTTGTTATTATGGGAAGTGAAGAAATGTATATTGTTTTTGTTTTGTTTTCTTTTTTTTTCTTTTTTTAACAAGATAACGGCTACAATTATACAGCGATTTCTTTTCTCTTAGTGTATATATTTAGGATAAGTATTCACCATGGTAACAAGTACAAGAGAAACACTAAACCGTACCATGAAGTCTCCGTGAAAGCAGCAATGCAGCCAAGACAGACACACCTATTTTCACTGTTTTTATATGCCTACCTACTTATCAGTTTATGAGTGAAAGTATGTGACCACTTGTCTTTATTTGTATATTCAGAATTTGAGAAGGATATCATCATCATCATTAATGAAATTGTGCTTTTTGTTCTGTAAAAAATTCTGAAAAGATTATTGAAGTTTTTTTGTATTGTTTCAAGCTCTGTGATGTGGAATGGTTATTCCAGAAATTATTCAGACCTTAATTCTTTCTTTATAGTTTTGATCACTGTTTCAGTTTGTACATTCTCCAACCTTCTTAAGGTTTGTTTCAAATCTGCAGAGAGGCTTAAACAGAACCAATTTTTTATCAATTTCTTTTTGGCTAACTTTTGTCTGTCCTGTGCAGGAAGGCTTTTAATCAGGAGGTTTGTGGAGTGTGTAATCACCTCTTAATTGCTGTTGTTCCCAGGTTCACCCTGACCTGGGATGATAACACCTGTTAGGGTCCCAGCGATAAGCAAATAGTTAACCCCCAAACTTTGGTCAAAACACTATTAAATTGTAAAAATCGGTTTTATAGTAAAAATACCAGCACTAAATTTTTGAAAAAAAAAAATTATTACCAGCAGTACATTTTTAAAAAAAAAAAATTATTACCAGCAGTACATTTTTGAAAAAAAAAAAAAAAATTATTACCAGCAATACATTTTGGGAAAAAAAAAGAAGAAACTTTCCAATTATACATTTTTGGAAAAAAAATATTACCAGTAATACATTTGACCCTTGAAATAAACCCACTTTACAAAAATACGTCAATGAAACCTGATCTACAAACTGATTTCTTATAAAGAATACATTAAACTAAACTTGAAATCTTTATCTATCTTAAATAAAGTTATTGAAATAAAACAAACAAAAAAAAAGGCCTTGAGCCTAATAAACGCTTTTGTTCAAAAGCTACCTGAAGAATACCAATTTCAACAAACACCTTATAAATACCAAAGTACACATTGACCAAAATGTTGGAAAAGTTGTCTGTTATAATAATAGGCAGAATTAGCTAAAAGAAAAAATTAAGTCTTATGACTTGATCAGTGATCAGCAAAATGAACATTCATAGAAATTTTAAAAAATTAATACATGCTGTCTTCTTTGTCACACACATATAATATACCAGATGGTAAAGAATAATTGTCATTCCATAAAATGTTTAATATCTGAAAAACCACTAAACTAATTGATTTCTTTTTTCCAGGTTTTCAGATAAGATGTTTAACCATCTAAACACTATTTGTCATATGAATCTTTGAAAAACCCTTTATTCAGCTAGAAAGAGGTTAAAATCATTTTGTGTCAGCTCCACTGTCTTCCTAATTGAGCAATGGTGAAACAAAAAAAAATTTTTTAATGCCTTCAATAATGGTACCAATATTCATGCTCTGGCTTCCATCTTCGGAGTCCATTCATAGAACCATCAAGAGAACGGTGAATAAGTTTAAAAAAGAGGGAATAGTACAAAGGAAAATTGGAACAAGAGGTCACAACAGGAAGAGGGATCATCATTTCAACTTAGAGCTAAAGAGATCAAGTAGAAAAGATACAACTCAATCCATGTTTAGCACATGAGGGAGGAGTTTCGGCTATGACAGTCCAAAGAGCAGTGAAAAAAAAACTTGAAAATGAAATCGTACGCAAAACCTGTGAGGTACCTTGTTACTCCAGGACAGAAAGTTAGAAGGTTAGAGAGGGGGAAGATCATCTTGAATGAGTTGAAAAATGATCCTGGAATAATATCTATACATTTGAACTTTATTTCAATACTTCATTAGCTTCCGATCCTTAGCTATGATTAATTAATGATGAACATGTTATTTTAGTTTATGATCGATTTCATTACGATTCTTCTGTTAAGCTTGGAGAGGAATTATACATTCTTACTGCTCAAAGTAAAGTCCAATAATGTGATAAAAACATTGGAGAATTCCAGTAAGATATCTTTGATCATTTCTAAGATACAACGGTTCAAAGCTTAATCTAACAAATGGACAATTTTGTTTTTATATAATTTGGACAATTTTGCTGTTACACCCAGTATAAGGCCTATATTCTTTTGTGGCTTGCAGCCACATTACATTGAAACACCAGTCCCTGTATGATTACTGAAGTTAAGCAACATTGAGCCTGGTCAGTGCTTAGATGGATAACTGCTTGGGAATACCAGATGCTGTAAGCTTGGATGTGCAGGTAGTATAATGGAGAGTGGCTTGGAATTGTTAAGAGAGCCAAGTTTCAATTGCAAATCCACCTCTTCTGCCCCCATTCACTTACAATTCATCTATTTCCCCCAGCTATGGGTTAATTAGTATCACTAAACCATTATTATCTAAAAAAAAAAAAAAAAAAAAAAAACAATTCTTACAATCTAAAAATAATTTCTGGCTTTAAATAACTTGCAAAGGGTTGATAAGCCATAAAAAAATGAATCAATCAAGATTTTGTTCAAAATGATCTCCTTTCAAATGAGAAGCCTTTAAAATATGGCAGGTATTTCTCCTGCACACTGTATTATAAGTCCTATTTTATCGCCCTCTTTTTTTCTTTTTTTCTTTTTTTTTTTTTTTTTTGTTATTATCATTTCACTCAAACCAAAGCAATAAAGCCACTAATATGCAAAGGGCTATTGAGTACGGAATAATCTGAGGGAAGAAAACATTAAGGAGAGTGAATAATAAAAGAACAGGAATTAAGAAGACTTAAATTTTTGAAGGTCAAACTTGACTGGAAAGGAAGAAGCTGGAAGAGAGTTCCACAAGTGAGTAGTGCAAGAAAAGAAACTGTAAGCATAGAACTTATGGTTACATCAAGGTATTTCAACTGTAATATGATTGACTTTGTCACTGATCTAGTAGTACACTTCATAAAGTCAAGGTACTACAGAGGAAACCTCATTAGAACAATCATATATAGAAAAGACACAGAGAATCTGTTACAGCAGTGGAAAAGTGACTTAAGCCAAGATATCAGGCCAGGACCAATAACATTGCAGATTCTTTTTTGTATTTTATCCATAATCTCTAAATACATAGAAGCACCAGACCAGATGTGGCAGTAATATTCAATGCAAGGTTGAATAGTAGACTTTTACATTGTTTAATGTAAAGAGTTTGCTTTGGTAATTAGGTAAAAATAAGACTTTTTTTCTTTTCCAATCATGAATTTTATTCATTATTGTTGAACAACTTTCTGCCATCTGTCAGGCAACACTGTAATTACTCTCCTCACTATCATCTTTTCTTTTTAAGAGAATTCTATAAATGCTGGAATAAATGGGCATCCAAATATGCAATATCTGTTGAATATGGTGGCTGAGTCAGAACTTCCCAGCAAAAATGTAGCAACATTTACATTATCACCAAGCAATAATGATTTTCCAAGCATAGATATAGCACAAGGCCGAAAGTATGGGACACACAGTGAGGATCAAACTCATTACTCAATCATAATTGTTCTATCAAGACAAGCTTGATAACCATTACACCGCCTCAAGGTGCCCAAAATGATTTTCTAAGCGTAGCTTCGATGTGGCACAAAGCCGAAAGTATAGGGCACCCAGTGAGAATCGAACTCACTATTCAGTCGTAACTGTTTTTTAGTGAGACAAGCTTGCTAACCATTACACCACACAGAGGCCCTTTGTCACCAAGCAATATATGGTCTTTTGTTGTAGTGTTCACCCTGTATGAGTCCCTGGAGCCATTCAAGATAGAGGCTTACAGAGTAAGAGGTACAGCTTATTGCGGATACATGTGAAGATAACTTGAACAGGTTAAGATTGTAGTGATCTGGGGAGAGGCTCTTGGGAGTTGGTTCCACAAAGCAGTGGTTTGTGGGGTAAAAGCTGCTTGAATGTAACTTATCTCACCAGAGGTATATGAAGGGAATGAGGGTGGTTCATGGCGGATCTTAGACTTGAAGGTTAGGGCTGGTGGAACTAAGGAGTGTAGTTCGTCTGAACATTCCTCGTTCTTTTAAACTCTGGCTTCTTTTCATTAACTACTGCCTTTTATTGTTTTAACTGGAAGCAGTACTTGTTCAAGTCAATCATTTGCTTCTTTAAAAGAAACTTCTACTTAAATCCCACTATATAAACAGATATTATGTTCTTTGGATTAAGACTGAATTAGTCTGGTTAAGGATGTTCATTTTACTTGGTCCATGGTTGCTTAGATTCTTACATGGTTTTGAAGTATCCAGGCCTTATCACTTAGCATAATTGTTCAAAAGACTTTATTTAAAATAAATATGGTCCAGTAGTTTATCTTGTGTTTTATATGGAAGCTACACATCAAAATAGCTAACATAACCAAACTGTTCCAGAGTATTTTCGATACATATGGATATTGGATAACCTTGATTATTCTCAAATGATGTCTTCATTTGATTACTGTGAACTTCAGTAGCACTACAAAATGATGGAGCATTGTTCAGAGAAAAAGCTAAAGCCCACATTCAGTTATTCATAGAACCTTCTTTGTCTCTGAATTGCATTTTTACCATTCAATTATTTTTATGTACCTTATGCTTTAAATGTTAGTTTTTGTCTATCTCTAATGTTAGATTCAGTCAGTTAAACACCATATGTGATACACAAGTTGAGCAATCATGCCTTTCGACTCATAACTGACTAGGTACAAGATTTTCTCACAGTAGGTTGCTATTTCTTTCTGTGATATACTGGGATCTATAGCCTTGGTTGGCAGCCAGTATATCCTGCTATTCAACCCCTAGTAGTGATGGAGTCATACCTTTCCCAAGGATATTTGCACATAAATGATTGAGAAAAATATATGACAAAGTGGCAAAAGTTTTCATGTAACATGTTTCATCCTTTAGGACTTTATCAGATTAAATTTGTTTTGTTGGTGCAACTACACATGTATGCACACAAATGAGGGATGCTGGGATTTTACTTATTTTAAGTGATTGTACTGAACCTGACTGGGATTCAAATTCAACTCTCCTATTTCTCATTCCAGATGTTAGATTCAATAAATTTAAATAAACCAATTTGACAATTTAAAAAAAAAAAAAAAACAAGACCCAGATATGGATATGTAATATAATTGGCCGTGATCTGGCATCTATCACAGTCACTCTCTCACAGACACGCCAAAAGAGAGGTCTTTTCTACAAATACTTTCATGGTAATTGTCCGATGAGCTGCTTTCACTGGTTCCCAGACTCCATGAATTCAAGCGTCCCCACGAGGCTGGCATCCCGCTCTCACCCTTTCACTGTAGAAACTTTTAAATGTAGCCGTCTCTTCTACTCCAATAGCTTCATACCTCGCACCTCTCACCTGTGGAACACACTTCCCAATTACTTTTTCCCTGAGAGCTATAATCTCCAACTATTCAAATGTAATGTCAATCGACATCTCCAGTTACCTTGATCTATCCACTACCCTGCTCTCACTCCAAATCTTCTGCATCCTAGTGGCTTCACACTGTTGTAGAGTAGTTTTCACAGTGGAGGCTTGTATTTCAATAAGTCGTCCTAAATTAGGTTCGACGTACAAAACGTTAGGAACTTGAAATAAGAGTTAATGACGCAGCAATCTAGTTGTGATGGTTGATACTTCAATGTCCGACATCGACTGACTCACTCAACACCACTGAGCCCAACTGGTGACCGCTACTACTACTACTACTACTTATTATGTGTGAGTCTATTAATAATAGAATAGGTACGTTCAGGTATAACACACGCCTTGCTCGGGGCGTAATGCTTAAAAAAAAAAATAATAATAGTTGTTATAACAATGAAAACCATACCTTTTTGATAAAATTAGCTACAACTAAACACTTCTAATGCTATCTAACAACAAAAACAGTACAAGCATTTTGGTCAACAATATTTGCTTTTTATTTGCATATATCCTCCAAATCTTAACCTTATATCAAAGATGAAGTTGTCTGCTATGCCAAATAGAGATCCCTTTCTAAACTTTCAATATATTAAGATTGGTAGTTTATAAATTCTCTGGGTTACAGTGATTATTGGTTACTAAACAAAGGAAACTAAACTATATACATTTCATTCTGAGTGATGTTTGTGTTCACTCTGTAATAACAAACCCATAAAGTTGGCTACCTGACTGGGTAATGAATTAAAATCTATACCACAAGTATGGCTCATGAGCAGATCCTTTACTGAATAGACTACAATCTGTTCCAAATTACATTGAGAATATTAAACTCTAACAAGCCAAACATTTTAAATACAGTAAGCAACCAGCTGGATTGGTTTGTTTCCTCAATTATCTCAAATCATTTTTTCATTTGCAATGTTTATCCATTTGCTTCCTGTAGTTTGGATCAAATATTGAAACAATCTAATTGGATAATTTAATTTTATGTTTTTTTTATAAATTTAAATATCAAATTGTTATAATGTCTCTTCTTATTGTCAGCAAATAGGCTGATTTTCTTTTCTTATTCCCATTTTAAAGGGATAAACTTCTACCCCTCTTTCAAAGACGAGGAAAGAATTTAAACCAGGAATAGGTTTGTCCAGTTCACACAAAAGTAGAGGTTTATCCCTTGTTTCCTGTATAGGATTTGGTTTTCAATTCCTTCCAAAATCTTCTCATTGTCTTTCACTCTAAGTAACCACTTGCATCTTAGTGACATTATTGCCTTGCTTGGAATTGAAAGGGTTAAAAAAAATATAAGAACTGGAAATTTACCCCTAAAAAATGATAGGATAATTTAGATATAGTTTGGCACTTCTGTTTCCAATCTATCTTGCCTCTCAATCCTCTGCCTAGGATCACTGTAGTATTTGTGCACCCTTTGAAAAATGACACACATACACATCAATTTTATGATCATTGATTTTTGGTGCAAAAATTACTATGCCTGATTATATGATCATAATCAAGCAATCAGATTGCATTTTAAACAAATAGCAGTCGGGAACACCTTTTTTCTGAATAAAAACTGAAAGAATTCTCCAACTCCAATCAGATGTGAAACAGACCATGGCATAGCTACACATCTCTACATCTTAATTTAACTTTTGAAAATCATAGAACTGTGAAACCAGTAAAGTTACTCCAAATAAATATTCTTAAAAGCTCCAGTTGTATTTTTAACCTTTTTCCTAATATATATATATCTATCTATAAAAGGCAGGATATGTGTGTGTGTGTGTGTGTGTGTGTAAGGAA